AATCTAATACTTTTTAAAAACAATCTCAGATATTGGAAATAATTCTCAGATATTGGAAATAATTTTCGAAAACATAAAAATGCTACTTAATATTTCATTTTTTATGATTTATTTAAAGTATAAAAAAGAAGAATTGCAAATGAAATGAATGACATTTGGCGCGACATGATTAAATTACTCAAAAGTTGCAGGCGAGGGAATATGGAGAAGGTCTGAAAGACAGGATCGAAGGTTTAATCAATTAATTTTGGCTGCGATTGTTTAAGTTTGCATGATATATTTTATTTACCTCAGTTGAGAAAATATTTGAGGTAAATGTCCTATGTCTCAGCTATAGAAAGTTTTTATTTAGTTAGGCCAGGTAAAATTAATCTTTAGATTCTCATCCTAATTTGCTAAAAAATTGGGGCGGGTGGGCGGATTTTATTTTTTATTTTTTATAATTGTTAATTTGTAAGTATCAACAAAACAATGGACGCCCCTTACACATTTTTTTTTCATTATGTTAATGCAAATATGAATAGATTTAATTCTTTTCATATTCTTTTAAATATTTAAAGAAAATTTTTGCTTTAAAAATTAAATATTTATTGTTAATCAACAAATTATCAAGTACACATTATACGGCACACCCTGAACAAAATGAAGTGGGGATACCAATAAATTGTGTATGCCTGACTTCTTATTTTGCAAAATCTATATATTAAATGTTCTAATAATTATTCTACTGAAAAATCTAGGCCTTCTCTTAAGTCTGTCTACGATGTTGTAGGTTTTTTTATTATTTCAAAGCAAAGTCACACAGCTGGAGATCGTTATATATAACTTGACCAGGTGTCATTTTCCTCGTCTATTTTTACATAGTTACAATCTCTCTAAATACTTGCTCTTGCCAGTGATGGTATCTATATGTGTTTATGCTATTTTTTCTTCTCTGCCTTCTCTATACTTACAAATTATCTTTTTCTTACATATTTAAACTGCTTTTATTGCTGATTTTGCTCCATTCTTCACATGGCGTTTTTGCTATAAATAGCGACACGCGACTTTTAATACAGACGGGAGATAACTCTTAAACTTTGACCCAAATTCTTACTGAATAAAAATACATGAATATACCCAAAAATCAAAATAAAAAACATCGGGGCGGGACATTTTGAGAGGGGCGGGCGGGGATGAGAATCTAAAGATTAATTTTATATGGCCTTATCAAAAACATTTTAGCTTCGTCTCTACAATCACTTTACCAATTTCAACAAATTTTGGCATAAAGCATCTATGGGTGAAGGGGAACAAAAGTAAATTTCATGGTCCCTGACCCCTGGGACAGGAAGGGTGGGACCAAAACCATGAGCGCTTGGTTTCAGGTAGATAGAATGTTCTATCGTTAAAATGATAATGTCCTACGGACCTGGTTTAACGATAGAATGCATTCTGTGTATTCACAATGTAGCAAAGTAAACTCGGGCGATAACTCGTACTAGTGCAATCAAGAGAGTTCCGAATGTAAACATTGGGTGCAAATTTGAAGCGAGAAAAAACGTTGAGAAAATTAGTTGAATTTTCGTCTTTATTTAGACTAAACTTTAGGTTTAAATACTTACGCAGCCCCAAAAAGGTTTGTTTTGATTAATTTATAAGTTATTTTCAGTGCAAATCCGTTTGTATCCTTCAAAATCGTTTCGGAGCGATATTCTGCAATTTTTTGCTACATTGCAAGTATACGAGTGTTATTCTAACTGTGGTGAGGGCTTTTCCCGAGACACAGATAGATTATTCTAACTAGGTTTCAGGATGGTGTATTATTGTATTTTGTGTATTATGTGTTTTTCTAGGTTAACCTTGTATACCCTCATTAAAATAAAAATAAAATTTGCCGAAATTAGCACATTTTAAAAAATGTATATAAAAAGAGGAAAGGGGAATGCCACTCACCATCTTGGATTTCAGGGGGTGCCTTGGTTCACACTTAATTTAAATCAATATCTACATTTTTCCTATTATTATTATTATTAGAGATCTAGCTTCAAAAATGATTGAATAACGCCTTTCAAATGTCTGCCGATTTGAACTTTCCATGTAAAACATACAGTAAACCCAAAATGTCTCAATACCAAGCACAGAAATCGAAAGCATCATAAGTGCCGATTTCAAACAATGAAAAATGTAGAGGCATCCTGGAATTACACCGAAAATCTAGAGAGAACAAGTTTGGTGCGGTTTCTGACCTCTCTAGATTTTCTGTGTAATTCCGGGACGCCTCTACATATTTCATCGTTAGAAATCGGCACTTCTGTTGCTTTCGATTTCCAAAATGTCCTCGATACCAAGCACAGAAATCGAAAGCAATTTACCAGAAGTGCAGAATTCTAATGATGAAATATGTAGAGGCATCCCAGAATTACACAGACATGTCCATGGACATCAATTCGATGATCATCATCAAGCAGTCAAACTGTTGGCATGAATGTGATAAGCATTGAGTCCCATACCAAAATTGTGAAATTGATGGCCTCAGGGTCAGGGGTCCTTGTGCTGGGGTTGGGCTATGTAGATCATGTAGTGTAAATGCATTATTTCTTTGAAAAATCTTTTTCTCTTCTCCTGGGCATTGAACAAGCAAACTTAATGTATAGTTATGACAAGCAAGGCTGTCTCTTCCAAAATTGTGAATTTCATGGCCCCTGGGTAAGGGGTTTTGGTGTTAGGGCAGGGCTAACCAGTGCTTTATTGATTTATATAGTGAAAATGCATTAATTCTTTAAAAATATTCTTCTCTGCTCCAGGGTATTAAATAAACTAACTAAATACATAGTTATGATGAGCAAGAATGTCTCTTCCAGAATTATGAAATTGATGGCTCCAGGGTTGGGGGTTCTGGTGTTAAGGCAGGGCTCTAAATTGATTATATAGTGAAAATGTATTACATCTTTGAAAATCTTCTTATCTGCTCCTGGATATTAAACAAACTAACCACTTACATAATCATGATGAGGAAGGGTGTCTCTTCCAAAATTGTGAATTTCATGCAAGGCCCCTTCAAAATCTAGCTCCTCTATCCTGGGTATAAAGCAGATGAACTACGTATAAAGCTATCTTGAGCAAGAACCCTTCTTCTAGAATTGTGAATTTCAAGGCCCCTGGGTCAGGGGTACCATATTGGGAGGTGGGGGGGGGGGGGCTCAAATTATACACTGACAATGAATTAATGCTTTAATTTGAAATCTGCTCCTTGGTATAAATCAAACATTTATGATGAGCATGGGTGCCTTTTGATAAATTGTGAAATGTGTGGAACCTAGGATCAGGGGTTTCCGTACACAGTAAATGTAAACATGCAGCATTTTTTTCCACTTATGTATTGTTCAACTATGGCATCTGTGAAAATGAGGTATTTTAGCTTCACCTTAGGATATTGCTACATCTGCATTGTTTTCCCTAAGAACCTGCAACTGCAACTGGCAAAATTGACTCTTTGAAATAAAAGAATATAAATTTAATTGTTGTAAGGTCCACAGAGATTTGTCATAAACCTCAGCCTCTAGCCTGTTAACCCTTTACTTTGAAATAAGGGAAGACACTGCATTTGATTACTACGAAGGAATACTTCAGTTCAATAGTAAATTTACAAGAATTTGTGGACAGAATTGTTTCCCAAATGAATTTTTTGTCATTGAATCTGTTTTTAAAAGTGTGTAATTAATCCAATCCATATACATTTTGAAATAGAAAAAAATGCTTTCAGAATTCTAAATTTATTCTGAATACTTTAAGAGATACATGTTGATACACATTTATTGTTTGTGCTTAAAAATGTCCATTTTATACTCCATAATGGACCCGTTAACACGAAGAATCGAAACTATATACAGACACTGTGCGCAGCTAGATTTATATGGCAATATATTTCTTGAATAAGTCAAAAAATTTGATGAAAGAATTGCTGTAAAATGTGTGACTGTAGGACATGCTAAGTCAAAATTATACAAAATCGGATATGAAGAAAAAAAAATGACTACATTTTTTTTCAGCTGAAGGCCCTGTTCCCCCTTAAGATTACTATGGTTTCTTTCATTTGAAGCCAGGTCATGCACATGGCATTCTGGAAATTTGAAAGCAAATGCAAAGAGATATTTGTTAGCTAGTGATATTGATTGATCTACAGTGAGGCACTACCTCATTTTGAAGTTCACCAAATATATTTTGTGTAAATTAAAGAGTTATTGCTCTTTGATTAGGAAATGCAAGACAATTATATTTTATATTCATGATATATGCTAATAAAAGAAAAATGTCCATTCATAAATATCACAGATTTGGGTAGATCAATGTATGTTTGTTTCATGCAATTTAAATAGGTTTTCTTGGAGATGGTCAAAGAATTTTATCCCAAGGAAGATATATAATGCAAATTCAGTTTTGATATACATGTGTATACAAGTATACATTGTCATATTACTTGTATTCATTCATTTTAGTAGATCTTTTTGAAAAATTTATTATTCATGATGTTGATTCCTTGTGCATACCCGGTAATGATATTCAATGTACATACATGACGATGATGATGTATTTTATAAAACTATTACAGCCACACGTGTTCTGTGAACTGGTAGCTGTGTCAAAGTTGACTTGTACACAATGATATATTAATGATGTGGTGTTTGGATTCTGTTTAAAATTTATAAAGATAGTGCTTTATAACTTTTTAACTTTCCAGAATATATGGTTTAATTGTTGCTAGATTAGTAATGTAATCCTGACATGATGAAAAAATTTGGATGATAGAATTCCTTGAGTATCCACCCCTGCTTTTAAATGAAAATGTCTTTTACAAATTTAATTTGTCTCCCCCTTTCTACATAAACTGAAGACTTAAGCACTACCAAAAATACATTCATGAATCTCTGTGAGTGAACACAGCCAATAAAGGTCCACATTTGTTCTGGCAGTTGATGTGTAAAATATTCTTATTTATCTAATCCATATTTCACAGGTTTAAAGTTATCCAGGCCACTTACCTGAGTGGTTCTGTTTTCCTGTACCTGGCCTCTGTGGAATACCTGTTTTCACAGTTGACGTAAGGTCAAATTATTCTCTCCCCCAGGAATTTAACAATGAAGACAATTTTGCGGTTTGCTGTGTTGTGACGTGATCTAATCAGTTTGGTGAATGAACAGATCGTATCCTGATTGTAAGGTAAAAAGTAACTCTTCATAGGTTCTAGTGCCTGTCTATGATAATTTGACATTGTTTTGATGTTACATTTGTCCACATTTAGAGGGCTTGTCTGTTATGACCATGCCTTTGTTTTTTATACATTTCCAATGAATAGAATTTAATTTATAAATAGCTTTACATAGATAACTCACTCAGAGATATATATGTGATATGATGTGTAGAATTAAATTTAATGAGTTGGGTTGTGTTGATCCTGTATGATAACTGATCCATGGAGTACCACCGTACCTATTTATTATCTGTGAGTGTCGTAATGGTTCAGTTGATTGTATATTGTACTGCTAACCTAAAAACTTGTATTTTCCAATTTTACTTTACAGCTTATTCATGGGCTACTGACATACCTTAAATCCATATTATTTAAAAATCCATCCTTCTTGACAACTCAGAATTGGGAAATAATGAATTTTTTTGACTGATAATTTGTTCATCTGTATTACTATTAATGTAGATGGGTTATTCTATGATCTGATAACCATGAACCCAGCTAACACAAAAACATTTTAAAAATGTTTTTAAAACATTTTCAAAATGTTGCGAAAACATTTTTTTAAAATGTTTTAATCACGTGATTTTGTATGGTTTTTTAAACGTTTTAAAAACATTTTAGTGAAATATTTCAGCAAAATGTTGTAAGAACATTTTCTTAAAATGTTGCAAAAACATTTTCAATAATGTTTTAATCACGTGAATTTGTATGGTTTTTTAAACGTTTTTAAAACATTTTAGTGAAATATTTCAGCAAATGTTTCCGGAACGTTTTCTTAAAATGTTACAAAAACATTTTACAACAATGTTTTAATCACGTGATTTTGTATGGTTTTTTAAATGTTTTTAAAACATTTTACAAAATATTTCAACAAATGTTATCATAACATTATTTTTAAATGTAACAAAAACATTTTCATAAATGTTTAATTCACGTTTAATTTGTTTGGTTTTTAAAAAATTTTCAAAACATTCGAGTCGAGGTTACGAAAGTATTTTTCCTGAGTTTTTACTTTATCTCATTAAATAATGAAATATTTATATTTTAAAAGAAATAAACACAAATTTTATTTAATTTTTGAATCTTTAATACAAACCCATATTCAATATGTTAATCACATTTAAATTCCATTCTCGGTACAAGTTTTAATTAGTCACAGGTTAAAAACGGCGTCTTATCCATTCACTGAATTTTAAAAGAACAGAATCACAGAAATCCTATATGTTCACTGTAAACATGGTATAGGTAGAACAGAGCGGCGGATCTATAAGACTTAGTTAGAATCACATACACTGAAAAGGCTGATAAGATACTGCCCCTCGGAGAGAATAGCACAATCTGTAAAGATAAGGACAATTGTGTTTGTATCAGCGTTCTACATTTAATGTATCTTAAGACAATCAATGACAATATACAAAAAATATTTTAAATAATTATATCAAATTTAATTTCTTTCCTCATTTGCATTGAAAAAAGCAGAAAAATAATTACTATGACAATATTATTGAAGAGTAATAGTATTTACGTACACTTTTGCCTTCACCAAAGGCGGGTCTTTTGAATGTGGGAATTTGAAAATACGGATGATGCAACCAACACCTTGCTGTTAAGAAATTTCATTTTTAAATCAACATATTGTTTGATGATTAACATTTCAAAAAGACAACGAATACTTGAATCAAGGATATAATTGTGTTGCCTTAAAAATGAAATATTCAAATCAAATGCATGTATATAACCTTAACGCTTTGTCATTGCTACATACATTTGTACAAAGTTATTGTTGATCATACACTGGTAGTATAAAAGTAATTTTAAATGATCTTTTAAAGTCTATGATAAAGGAACAATTCTTACCATTCAAAGTTAATAAATCCCGAGGTTATTATTGTGGTTTATATGGTGCAAAGTCTTCTCATTCAAATCGGCACGGAGTAAGCGCGCACATCTTGTTTACCAGAATTCAAAATTTGGCCTAGATAAGCAGCAAACCACTATACTCTGTAACGCGCTGCCCAGCAGGAGAATTGCATAAGAGGTTATCATGACACTGAAACTGACCAGTGTGCCAATCCTATGTAATGCCTCAGAGTAAAATTCTGGGAGTGGATCACAGATTTGATGAAGAAATTTTTTTTAAAAAAAGACATTAAGAGTTTTATTTAATGCTTATGATTTTAAACATCTATTTATATTTTAATTTTTTTTTTGTTTGCCTAACCTTTCTTTTATTGATTTTTTTATTTGTTTAATCAAAGGACTTTATATAAATTATGTCTGTTTTATCAATAAGCCAAAACTAAAAATCATTATAAAATACCGGAAAAAAATTTTTCAATTAAAAATAACTACAATTCCTCATTTTAACACTATTCTTTCTATATATATTTTTTTTCTTCAAAAACTAAATTTTAGAAAAATCGCAATCATACATTATTTGAATGTTTTAAGAATATTTTGAAAATTACAGCAGCAATGAAAAATGAAGTTTTTAAAAAAAGAAAACACATTAAATTGAATGTTCTTAAATCATTCTCACAACATACTCTTAAAGTTACTAAACAAATTAAATTGTGCTGCAATTACATAAATGTTTCAGAAACACTTTGAAAATGCTTCCAAAAAATGTCAAAACTATAATTAAAATGTTTCAATTGTAGTGAAAATAATTATTTTAGGTAATGTTTTAAATAAACATTTTCACTGCCTAGGTCGAAAAATATCCGGAATTGAATGTTTTTAACTAACAGCGATATGATATTAAGAATGTTTTAAAAATATTTTTAAAATGTTCCTTACAAATGTTTTAGAAACGTATATGGAATGTTTCCGATTTACAGAAAAAGAATGTTTCATTTCATGTTTTAAGAACGTTTCTAAAACGTTTTATAAGATCTTTGATATTTGGAAGCTATAAAAACCCTTAAATGAATTAAGAATGTTTCAAAAACATTTTGACAACGTTCCTTCTAAATGTTTCAGAGACGTATTTATACAATGTTTCAGATTTATGGAAAAGGAATATTTCATTTCATGTTTTAAGAACGTTTTTAAAACGTAATATAAAAATCTTTGATATTTGAAAGCTAAACATACCTTTTGAAACATTTTTAAAACGTTTCAAAAATATTTTAGAAAAATGTTCCAAAAGGATTTAATCATAAGCTTTTTGAAAACATTTTTAAAATGTTTTTAAAATGTTATAATGAGAATAGGAAATGTTTTAAAAACATTTTTATTAAAATGTTTTGTCTGAAATGTTTTGAAAAAACCTTTTTACAACACCAATAAAATGTTTTGAAAATGTTTTGTGCTACCTGGGAAGTGCATGGTGTGTGCCATTCCCAAAGTCAGTTCTTATGTGTGACTGTGATTCTGGTGTTTTATTTCTCAGTAATTTTAATATGATAAATGCCTGTTAACATTGAGGCCTTGGTTAGTTGGTATATCACCTGTATCTTCATTATAAATGTGTCCTGAATGAAGTTGGTAGATATTGTTATTGCTTATAGACCTCTACTTTTGTCAGAGCTTTTCTTGGAGATGTTTTGCACAATCTCTATGAAATTTTTCAATAGTAATGATCAGCAAGTCTATTTGTGCAGAATAGATTTTAATTGGGCATTTATGATTGTAAAAAAAATTACATGATGGCCCTTTTGCCATGGGCATGTGTCAGTGAATGTTCTCAGATTGTAAAAATCTTAATTTTTTTTTTTCTCATAAACTGTACAAAACAGTATAGAGAGGATATTACATGTACATAAATATTTACAATTAAGCATGCGTGAGACAAAGAAACAGAAAAAAAGAAAAAAAACATTGGAAAAAAAATGACAGTTTCAATGTTTTAATGAAACTTTACAGAAATGATACAAACCTACTCTGTATCTACAATTTACATACATTTTTTTTTTTAAATGACCACCATTTCCATAATACATGTATCAGATGATATATGCATTTTATAGTTATTTTTTCCAATAATTGTTCAACCAAACTTTCTGAATCCATTGCATTCTTTCAAGGTTTGTGGCCATAACATTATATAGAACAAAAGAGATAACTGGTAACATTTTTTTTTTTAATTTCAGGAAATAGAAAAGTAGACGTCACATAATAGTTGTGTATCAATTGACATTGTTCAGGTATGTTGAGTCTTGCAAAGTATAACTTTATAACTTCTTGCACACTTGCTTACCCTGCTTTTAATTCAAATAATGTATTTGGATCAGTTTAAGGTAAAGTATATGCTATTGCAAAAAGTAGCAAAAATTCTACTTTTTCTAATGGCATTGTTTCAGATTTTAAGAAAAATATACTGTATTTGGTCAATTTGTTGTTGTACATTTACCTTGCATTATATTGCATTTCAAAATCACTTTCTTAAAAAATTTAACAATCTTCAGATTCCCCCCTGATCAGCATCATTAAGATGGAGCATACATAAAGTTTTAAAATAGTAATATCTAAGGTTATATACAATAAATATAATTAAGATGAATCAGGTTCATACATTTAAGAAATTTTTAGTGTTGAATTGCAATAGTTTCTATATTCACAGGAAAAAAAAGTCAATATCAAACTTGGAAATCCTTGTTCAAATTTAATTTCTAGTTGGCAAGACTTTCAATGCAATTGATATTATCAAATCAAGGACATATTACATAATGTGTTTGCATTTTTCAAAACTGTAACCTCAAAGAGTCATCAGCTCTAGAAAAAGAAAATTGTTAGCAATGTGGGTTGATAAATGTGATCAGATGAAAACTGTGTTCCTTTTGATGTTGTGTAATGTTCCTTGTCACCAAATATTCACTTTAAATTAAAAGTTGAACATCTTCATACTGAAAAAAAAAGATTTCTTTCAAATATTTGTGTAAGACCTCTGTTCTGTACTTGACAAGTATTATACATTTATTGACTGGGTTTCAAGGGCAACATGCATTTTATCTGCAGCCTTGGAAAAAAACAAACTGTTTTCCTGAGGCTGTTAAGCCAAAAGCAAACTGTTTGGTTGGGGGGGGAGGGGTGACAAAGCACATTTTGCTCCAAAGCACAGTCTGTAAATGTTTTGTAAATACCTTTTTTCAAGATTTACATTTTACCTGGGCACTTGCCTTTATATTTGCCAAAAAAAAAATATAGCTGATCCAGCCTGCATTGTGATGTAAAAAACATCATAGGCTAGCAGTCCAACATCTCATTAACAGGTCCATAATCTGTGATGGACTGCTCAGAAAAACATTTAAACTAATTGGAAATTGCTAGCCAGGTAGCTTTGGAAACATTTAATTAACCAATTCATTCTAAGCCTGATAAATATGCTTTTAATATTTCATGGCTTTCAATAAGAGAAACATCCATCATGATTTTAATAGCAATGCAAATAATATATTAATATTGATAAACATCATGATAAATATTTGACCAATAGATGGACATTCCCAATGTAATTATATTGATTGTGCCATTAAGTTATAGAACTACAACCCTATCAAACTTTGTTAGCCAATACTTGATGTGAAAAAGACCCTTAAATGTCCAAATCCTTTTGTGCTACATAACACAACATCAATTTTAGAGATTGAGATAAGTAATAGATTGATCTTGTGTTCATGAGGCACTGTCTGATTCAGGAGATAAAAAAAGTCTACTCCATGTCTCTTACAGTTTATACCAACAACTGAATCAAGGCCTCTCTACACAATCAGGATGTCACTGGAGGAAAAGAGAAGTTTATATTGAGAGGACCAGTCAGGTGAGCTCACTTCTTACAAACTCATAATGAAACACAGTAAAACAAACTTATAGGGATGTCCCAAGGGTAAAAAAGTTTTGATTCATCATAAAATACATGTGATTTGTTACATGCATGTACCCGGTATATCAGTTATGAGTACCGTTTGTTTTAAAACATTAGGGAATGAAATCCATTCCTCCTTATGGATGTAGGTGTGGAGTCATTTAACATTAAAGTATGTTTGCAGTAATCATGTTTTAACTGTATATATAAAAATGTGACTAAAAATATACAGCAATAAAGAATGATGTCATCTCTATTACAGTAGAGATACAAAGTGCAAATTTTGCTGTATATGTCAATAGATTTATTGTCAAGCACCTGTTTAGAGTTTTTATGGTTCTGGTGTTATAAGAGAATTTTGTTTTTGCCCTTTTTTTGTAAGATCTCTCGCTGCAAATCTTATCTCCAATTCTTACCTGGTAGTTTATATTTTGTGATCAGTTCAGTTTCAAAAAAAAATATTCAAGAAATACTAATGAAAGTTGATGACGTTGACCTAACTATTAATTTACATCTAGCAGATGTAAGAAGAAACTCTTCATAATATTTTCATCAAAACCCATTTCTGATATATGTTGTTTTGAAGTACGCTATATATGAAGTAAAACTTGAAATCTGTCAGAAATCTATTAATCACTATAATATTGAGATAGAATTATGGTCAACCACCACTATGAATATATTGTTATATTGCAGCCATAGTGATGATATGAATCCAAACTAACTTAATTTCCCCCTCTCTGATTCACCCTTGAAATGACAAATTATAGGTCATTACAGTTTACTTACATCCCCCTGCTCTTCCTAATTCAAAGCCCGGAAATTGGAATATCTTCAGAGGGAATGGCAGAGGTAAAACTTGTAAAGCACTGATTAGATTGGATGAAAGATTCAGAAGGCTAACAGATAGTCAATGAAAAGGAAAGACGAAACATATGGTATTTTAGAGCATTGATGAAAAAGAAAACCTTCTGTCTTATTTCTATAGGGTTTATTGGAAGTATAAAATAAACAGTGTATTAACACAACTGATTCATCCATCATTGTAAGCATTAAGGAACTGTATTTACAATAAGGTTTTTTTTATTCATTCATATAAACTTGTGAGAACGAACTTTATTTTACATTATTACTCTGTGCTGGATTCATATCAATTCAAAGAGTACTTATACAAAAAAGCTCAGTGTTCATTAAAAAGAAAAAAGTTTTATGAGATTGATAACAATAACCCCATAGGGTGGACAGAAAACTCAAAACTTTAAAAAGAAGATCAATTGACTACGAAAAACTTTCAGGAAAGATTACTATGTTTCTATTGTGGGAGTATGACTCAGATTTCTGAATGAAAGTTACCTGAAGGAGCTGCACCTTGAGGTAAATAAACTGTGGGCATGTTATCGGTTCTCGGCAGTGAATCTGATTAATAGCTTATATCTGTAGCAATGGGGAGTGCACGTGCAGGCAGGTAGAAGATCTACCCATTAGTGTTTGTCATGGGCAAAATGAAAAGCTATGCTTTTGTGGGGAATAACCTGGGTAGTCTGGGGGAAAATTAATGGATGCATGTGAGTGTGGTCTGAATATTTCTTGCAAGAGGTATACATGCAGTTAAGGATACTAGTAAAAGTTGGTGCTTGAATATTTTAACAAATAAAAAAAAATCTTTCTATGGTATAAAATTTTATCATACAATTTTATAATTTGAGTTACAAATTTCTTCAAGGGTTTTCCACAATATCAGTTTTGCATTTGAAGATGTACACAAGTACCATTGCCAATGTTAGAGTAATAAAATTTAGGTTTCAATTATTGCTCTTGAGTAGGAAATGTTCTATGTTATCTTTAGCTATTCTTAAGTAGCATAGATTATAAAGAATTGAGGATATGCATTATTTAATTTTAACCAAAAAAACTCTCTTAATTCACATGTATCATTTTTGCTAAAATTCTTTAGGAAATATATTTAAAAATGTTTATGTGAAATAAATGATATTGACTTGTTGATTTGATTTCTGGAATCTCTGTATACAATTAAAAATGATAAAACAACAAATAACTCCCTGAAATCAGATAAATGTTACATTAATATTCTGAATTCTGACCTAGTGTTTGGGAATCTCCACAACTCTAGCATTATATTGAAAACTGTCAGAAAATATTCAGATTTAATTGATACCTGCTGTGATAAATCGTCAATTTGACACCTGATAATAAAGCTAGAAAGTGACCAAGCTGTAAAGCCCCCAAGGTCATCAGATAGCCTGAGGGGATCTGAAGCGGGGGTAAGGACCCATAAAATCCTCCAGTGCAGAGGCAGTATTTCAAAGAGGGATATTCACTGATGGGAAGATTATTTATTGGAAATTGGCAATTTCTAGCCTCTATTCAGAATACAGCATGCTTTTGGCATATGTGCAGTTTTGATTAAGCTTGATTAGGTGCCTGAGAGCAATCATACACTCAGGAAGTTGAAGAACATATACACATGTGAAAATAGTGCCTGTCGATGGTATGTCACGTACTTTTCAGTTTCTATTGCTTTTATTTTACCAATTTAAGTTTATTTTTGGTGCTGAATATTTGTAAATTTTTGATAATACAGATGAGTGTTATTCAGAATTAGAGATTGAAACTGTAAGCATGTAAAGAGTAGTTCAACTTTATATCAAGTATTATGTTCTAATGAGGATGCAATTATCTTGAATTGGAAAGAAATATTAAGTAAAAGAAAGTGTAATATTTTTTCAAAAAATTTGAATGATTAGGAATCTTGGCAAATGCAGAAAAAAAATTATTTGACATCTAATTAAGTGATCAATGTATAAGATTGTGATTGATACTTAGTATGACAAGAAGACAGTGTTGCAAAGCTTTGAAGCTTTATGCTTTGTTAAACCATGAAAAAAGGTCTAAAAACGAATTTGTGCTATCAAAATTATAGTAGATGATCCATATACTAGTACTGTCTAAATATATCATAGTGAGTGAGTTGATTGTAAATGAAGAGATTAATTCTCAGTACAAGATTTCGTACTGTAACTTCTTTCCTGCATGAGATATATTTGGATGTTTTTAACTTCCTGTTACTGAATTATGGTATAGTCTGGGACAAGAATGCCAGAGGGAAGATTTCAAACAAGCAATGTAACCTACCAATCCATTAATTACTGCATTTTACATTGAGAGCTATATATTTATGAAGCCTTGAGATGAAAAATATATGTTCTCTGTTCATATTGCATATGTTTGACATGCAAAAAAATCTTTTTTAGAAGACGAATGAATCACAATTTGTAGAAAGATTTGTCTTTTAATTGTTTGAATTTGACCCTTAGGGAGTATGGTAGAGTTACGTTGATATGTTGATTTGTAGCCATGTCCATCTAGAAATTTTAACTAGTTTTCAGGGATCGGGGAGGTGGGTGGTGGGGGGAAAGACAGCGTCCTCTCTAAATCATGGGATTAATCAGGAAATATTACTAGTTTTTAGCAGAAAGTGGAGATGAAATTTATGTTAAGTTATCCTAGAACACAAATCTTTGTTAAAGTTGAAATTTTATAAAGAAACTCTGTAGAGTTATCTCTCTTGCATACATTCATTTTGATTCTAAGAAAAAAATAATCTTTTAAAATGTTTTAAATCTTGAAAAAAAAATTAATAAATAAAATAATACCAAGGGCAATGTGAAGGGGTGTAGAGTATCACTTCGTAAAATATCATACCAATCCTGATATAAATAAGTACTCACTGACTAACACACCAACTTGCAAAAAATCATGTTGCTATATTTTTTTGCAAGGGAAAATTAACACTTTTTAATAAACAGCAAACACAATCAATTCTGATTAGATTTTAATTAGTGTGAAAATGAGCATGAAAGGTGTGCTGGCCTTTGATGTTCAGTTATGTCTCTCTGTGTAATATGCATGTATATGAAGCTATTTAATGGACCCTCTAGCCACCAGGAACTTCTGGTCAGGAGAAGCACATAACAGCTGATATATAATCAGAACTAGGTAAACTAGCCCTCTACAGTCAGTCTTTGCTGTCAAACCAGGGTACAATGAAGAAATTAGAGGTG